GAAGCGCATGAAGTGGATGGGCTCCGTGACGCAGACGGCGAGGGTGTAGAGGAAGTCAGCGTTGGAGATCTGGTTGCGGGCTTTGTAGCTGCTGTGGAGGAAGTTCATGCGAGAGATGGCCTTGAGGGCGCGGTCCGAAGTTGGGGGGTTCATGGAAAATCTGGCAGGAGATTGTCAGCAGGCGGAAGGGTATTAGGGGAAAGATACAGAAGGTGCTCAACGTACTCGCCAAAGATGATGGTGGTGTCCTCATATCTGGAAAATTTGTGTTAGCTCCTTGACCAGGTTTTGAAGTTGAGAATGCACGATGAGTTCTAGTCCTCATGGATCTTACCTCTTCTGTGCGTTCTCAGGATCGGCCAAATTCTTGGTAGCCACAATGAGTTTGGATACAGTCTCGAAGCCATAGGTCTGTACTTTGAAGTCAGCAGCCATACTCTATATCATAGGCGCAAAGGGCCAATAGGGTGGGCATACCTTGAAGATGGCGAACTGGAGCGAAAGCAGGTAAAACTTGGGAAACTCATATTCGATAAGGTGCTTGAGGATGAGCTGAGCATCGGTATTGCTCATGCCGGCAAGAGAAGCGCGGTCAGTGTAGCCCATGCGTTTCTGCAGGGCGTTGATGCGTCTGAAGCGCACCGAGGCACACAAGATGAGCCAAGCCACAACGAAAGCTCCCATCACTGAAGTGGTTGGCCATGCCATGAGGATATTATCGCTCATGCCGATGGATGTGCCTTGTCCAGTTGGGACTGAGTGGGTAAAGTTGGATGTGTCAGGATTCATTGTGCTGATGATGGTTGTAGTAAATCGTTCTGATATCTTGTGATCCTGTATTTCTTCGGTCTTGCGATCTTTCGATCTTTCGATCTTTCCGTCGGTCTTGCGATACTGGGTCGGGAAGGTGCTAGGAAACGTGTAGTAGGTGAAAGTGATTGATTCCTGGTTGACCGTTCGGGACTAAGCTGCGAATTGACTGTTACTCCATGTGAGTCCACTGACTGGTAATTATGAAATTTGTGAGGTATGAGAAGTGAAGCTAGGTAAATTTGAAAGTAGTAGGGAAATGAGAAATGGAAGAGGGGCTGTTGTTTGTGTTCACGACGGGTCACACGTATGACAGGTGAGGAAAGTCGCTCTTACCCCTATGAGTGGCTCACAGTCTGAGTGCTTGTCTGGATAAATCAAAGAAAGAGAGAACGACTGTTGGAGAAAAAGTGATGTGAATAAGGCAAAAGCGATGTGAGATTGTAAGATGCCTGCGACGTTGACCTGTCAAAAGGTGAGGAGAAACCGGTGGTCAGCAGACAACTAGTGGTCACCAAAGTCCCTTCCTTTCTTTCCCCCAGCGATCTGAGGTGAAGATGCTGAGAAGGGAAGTCGGGGTTCAATGGTGGTGAGGTAAGGTAGGGACAAACGTGGAGGTAAAGAAAGCACGGAAGGTAGGTAGGTAGGTAGGTCAATAATTGGAGTTGCGAAGTACCTTAACTTAGGCCTAGGCAGCTTGTGGTTGGAGTGCAGGACAAGAGAGGTGTGAGCACCTCAGTAAGGGATGGGTGAGGTGAGCAGGGGTCTCGCCTTATCGGTTCGATCTGCCCAGGTTTCGCCTTGCAGAATTGCCGTCTGTGGAATGGAAGGAACGAATGGAGAGGAACGGAACTGAACGGGATTTTGAGTGCTTGTTTTGTTTCCCCTAACCTAACCCTTCTCTTTGACCTTGACTTCCCTTGGGTACTTTGTCGGCTTGGCTTTCCGTTGCAGATCTGGAGGGGTAATTTTCATCTTCTATTTCTCCTTCCAGCCAAGCTGACAGCTGCAGCCACAAGCCTTTTGCCCCATACGTACCTATAGGCTAAGGTAGGTAGGTAGGTACCTTATCAATGGGCTTTTCCTCATCCGACAACAAAGAACGAGGTCTAGAATCCACCACATCGGCACAATCAGCTACCACCAACATGGCTAAAACGCCTTAGGAGCCGCCCACACGGAACTACAGTGAGCCAACGTGGAGCATTGCGTTCTCTTTGAAAGCCAACTGCTGGAACGTGGGATTCGAAGGAAGCCCCCTCCTATGGTGCCTCCATCCTGGCGTAAGCCCCAGTGCCACATTACTGCCTTCCTTACCAGGCACACAGGCACATGCATCCAGGTTACAGGTAGGAAGTTGAAGAAGTGCAGCCACAAATCATCGTTAGATACAGCTGACAGAAGAGGAACCTAAACCATTTGGCGGCTTGTGGGATCATCCTTAGCAGAGGCACTATTCATCCGCTGGTCTGCCCCGCGCATTTGAAGAAGCCTGCTAAATGGACCGTGCTCAAGCTATTGGTGGCCCGGCCGGCTTCCTCTGTCAGTTTGCCACCGGCACTTTTATGCTGCCAACAACAACTGCGTGGGCATAAGTCGGCCAAAGTTGAATTCTTACCTATTGCTAGGAACGAACCAAGGCTTCCATGTGGTGTTAGTATGGGATACCGGTATGTTTCAATGGTAAAGAACCACAATCCAATCCCATAACACCATAGCCATCCGTGTTTTTCGCGTAAGATTATAGGAATTATCCTGTTTGGCCTCAAAGTATGATGATGTACCAAGACTCTGCAGGTGATCCGCTCTTCAAAAACGGAGAGTGATGCAAGTCCTCCTTCACATCATCCCAAGCTTCTTCGTAAGGTAGGTAAAATAGGAATCGAGGTCCAACATTTCTCCCCAAGTCGTGAGGAGATGAGTTCTCGCATAGCAAAGAAAACAGGCCATTCTCGACTTTTCGTTCATAACAGAAACATATGGAAAACGATATTGCAGCACCCTACTATCTATAACACGGCCCGGCGATGGTTAGGGTTTCACTGCCCTCCGAGTCTCGAGTCGAGTAATACATGATTCTGCATGGCGTGAGGATCGGTAGCAAACAAACAAAAGGCCGTCGTTTCCGGCGTCATTCAGGTCGCCCTTGGGTCACGAGAGAAACAAGCGCTCGGCTGCGGAGGTTGCTTTGCAGATGCGGCCTTCCCTCGAGGGCTGTTTGATGTTAATGAAGTGCATACAGCCCCAGCAATGTGTTGGTTCTGCAGGCGATGGAGCCGTGCACTCTTCGCTTATTTTCAAAACAGAAAACAGAGTACAGAGTGATGAGTAATAGTAGGAGATGCCTTGCGTGACACTGCAGAAAGGTTCAAGGAGGAGAAGAGGAGAGACCCGACGGAGGGCATGGATGCCGGGCGGGAATGTATTTCTGTGGAGAATCTCCGGCCCGCTGTGGACCCGAAAGCAGAAGAGGTTAGCGTGATGCTATTTCCACTCCTGGCCAGTAAAAGGCCCGGCACCCATCCATCGAGGTCCACTGGTGATGAACCGCCCCACTCTGTACTCCAGGCGCGCGTCTAATTAACCTTCAATTTCAATGTCGCTGCTTTCTGCTTTCCCATGTCCACTCACCTCATCGTCCATGGATACCTTTCCACTCCATGCCGTCAACACTGGCTCACTTACACTGGGACGTAAGCCTCGCTGTCCAACCCAAGATGCTACGAGTTCATGCTTCCGACTGTAAGAGAACCCAGTGGTTCATGCTCAAGTCTCTCGTCATTCGCCTACGCGCCCTTCGAGATCTCCATCTAATCTCCTGCTGCTCATGCGAGGAACCTGACTACTCGAACGAAGCCGGCTCTCTCTTCGCTTCACGACGCGTCTGCTGGCCCCATATCTTGGTCGATCGGGCTGTAGATCGGACCCCAGACCCAGTGGTCCCTTGCTACTGTTACTTCAAAGTACCCGCATTCAACGGCAGGCCGCAGGTGTCCTTGACTTGACCGTCTTAACTTAGTTCGTCTACGACATTGCCCACCTTTGCCCACCTACCGCGCGCTCACAACGCAATGCGCCTATCCTTCCTCATCTCCCGCCTCCCGCCTCATTGGCTCCTCCGCCGCCGTCGTGGGGGCTGCGGACCGCTCCAACAACTCTATACAGTCTAGGAGCTTCAATGCTGCCGCCGTCTACCTTACTTCGCTACCTTCTTCGAAGGGAATCGGGGACTTTGTTCGACCCCACATCATGTCGTGGCATGATCCAGCCCTAACACGGCCGATAATCTCCTCCAAATAGGCACTCGCGAGCGCGGCAAGGCTGGCGCCTACTCTTACCCACTACCTCTACCCGTCTCAAATTCCCTTTCCAGCCCCAGTCTCTTCCCGTTTGAGCCCTACTGCTCCCTTCTTCGGGACCCTGGCGACCCGTCCGATCATTGCCCCAGGGTCTATTGTGTAGCCGCCCTCCAGACCCGGCCAGTTCTACGCGCCCGACTTCAGACAGACGCCCATCCCGATGAGACGTCTGGCCAATGTCTGTAGCTCTAGGACTCGTTGTCTGTCCCTCTAGACACACGAGACGGGTTTCATGGGCAGTTCTGGCAGCTCGTTTAGCCTTGTTCTGTCAAGTTGCCCTGTTTCAGACTTCCATAACCCTGGCCTCATCGTAACCGCGCTTCTGTGTCTCTTTGTCTCCCTGGCTGACCGTGATATTGTTTAAAGTCAGGTCCAATGTCCGGCTTCACGACCTCCTTTTGACCTTGTATTCGCTTGTCAAGACAGTTCTCTCCATCTCACAACAGTTTCTTTTTTTCCTCTATCTCCTATTTCCTTTTTTTCTCTCTCGTCATAGTCATCATATTTCCTAAGTCGGATTTTCTAGATTCCTCTTCAGTCCGCCAATCTCCTTTCGCTCCAATTCTGCCGCCCTATAACCAATACCAACCTTTCCATAAACCACCTCCAGGCGAGGCGCAGAATTATCATCATCAACAACAACATAACGGGACACTCGCTTCTCTTCTTGCAGGATAATCAGTAATCTGCACTCATTCACTTTATACCGGACAATCTCGTCTCTCTCCAGGTTATCCACTCTTTCTTCGATATCTACTTTCCCGAGTTATCATGCCCAAACACACGCGGGCATCCAGTTCCAGCCACAACCACAACCGTTACGCAAACCCAATGCCAATCTCTCTCGCTCCCGCAGCAAACCCAATCGCAATGTACAACCAACGCATGGCCATGCCGCAGTCGGCCTACTACACCATGCCCTCCTCCTCGGCCCCCATGCAGCAGCAGCCGCAGCCCACGTACGAAAGCTACGCCCCGGTCTCTGCGCCCCCGGTTTCCGTACCCCCGATGCAACACCGCGCCTCTTCGGGAGCCTGGACCCCACAGGATGATCAGCAGCTGCTCGCGGCCCGCTCCCAGGGCCTCAACTGGGGCCAGATCCAGACCACCTATTTCCCCAACAAGACTCCCAACGCCTGCAGAAAGCGCCACGAGCGCCTGATGGAGCGCAAGGGTGCCGACGACTGGGACAATCGCAAGCTTGAACGCCTGGCCAAGGAGTACATGAGCATGAGAAAGGAGATCTGGTCCGGTCTCGCTGCTCGCACGGGAGAAAAGTGGAACGTCGTCGAGGCCAAGGTACGATGCACTCCCCCTTGAAAGCAACAACATGACGAGAGAGGAACCCTAGCTAACCTCACATCCGTGTACAGTGCATGTCGAACGGTCTCAAGAACCTACAAAGCGCAGCCCGCGCCGGGGCCAGACGGGAGCGCCTGGAGTCAGGGCAGCCACTACCACCAGGGTATGACGATGACAGCGGCATCAGCGGCCTCGGGTTAACCCCAGTTGACGAGCTAGACGCCTCCTACAGTAGCCCGGAGACCGTCTCCTCCGGACACTCCGCCAGCGGCAGCAGCGCCTCGGCCGCGGGCTACATGGCCTCCCTGCACCACCTCCAGCCCATGCACGCCGCTCAGTACGGCGGCTACGGCCACCACGCCGCCACCGGCGCCCACCACGGATACACCAGCTCCGTCTCCTCGAACGGCTCCGTCAACGGCGGATACGGCGGCCACGGCCAGTCTCAGTCTCCCAGTCCCTATCTTCACCCCCACGGACAGCGATTGCCGAGCGTGGATATGGGCATCGACGCCATCATCAACCGACCCGGCGGTCAACAGCAGCAGCAGATGTGACTGCATGGCTCCAATGACGATTCCCACCAGTGGTCCCAAGCCCTTGGCTCCTAGGGTTCAAGGCATTTTCACCTTTTTCCTTTCTTCAATTTCCTACTAGGTCATGGCGTTATCTTGCAGGGTTTTCGGGAGGCGTTCTCGGAGTTGCATGGGTATTATTCAAATTCACCTAAAGATGGGCTTTCGGTTTCCGACATTGGTAAGAAACTCGGGCACTCCTTTACGAGTTTACCTTACCTTTTTGCGGGGATGGATGAACAGCACAAAGGGAAGCCATTCTTTTTGCTTCCGTATAATGACGAACAAATGATCAGAACAGTACCGGGGAAGGAGGGAGGTATCGCGATATTTTATTTTCTTCTGTATACTAGCATCTATAGAGATACCAGAGGAGAGGGAGACCAGGTTGAGACAAAAAGGAGGGAGAAAAACCTAGGGAACCGCCAATGGAATGCTTTTTTGAACTGGAAAAACAAAGAGAAACATCATTTTCTGGAAATACACCCGCGCTTTTTTGTCTTCCCGTATGAGCAAACACTTGATTTACAGAGTGAGGTCTTTATATCTTTGAACCCAGAAATCTAAGACCGGAGCACCACTATGGGTATTGATGGTTCCCCTCCCACCCCCACGAGGAAAACGAGCAACACTATCATACAATATCCCGCGTTTTCTACTACGACAACGCGCCGCTGGCATCACTCTATCCCCGCGGCGGAGGCAACGTAACCGGCATCTCATCCAGCTCATCGTCGTCCTCCCACTCGTCATCATCGTCTACGCCAACAACGCTATTCCACACCCGGCTCCACATGCCCTTCTTCTGCAGCAGCGCCAACACCATGACGACGGGCAAATGCCACACGCTCGCCCAGAACAGACCCCTCGCAGACCCCTTGTGTCCCTCAAACTTCCAGAACCGCACCGCCTCGCGCGTAAGCCACGCGTTGACGGGCAAGCTCGTCACGGCAAAACTCCACTCCGTCACGCCCGCCGCGCAGAGCCCGACGCAGATGGGGATGAAGGCGATGCTGTACCGCAGCGCGACGCGCGCGTTGCGCGCCGGGTTCGTCCACGCCAGCATCCGCAATCCGGCGGCTTTGTATTCCTCCCGGATACCCCACGAGAGCGCCATGAAGTGCGGGAACTGCCACGCGAAGAGCAAGCTCGCCATGAGCCAGCCGCCGATGGAGCTGCCGTCGCTGGCAAACAAAAGTTCCCGCCAGGACCCGTCGCCCGAAGCCGTCTCGCCAGCGGCGGCGGCCCAGCCCATGAGCGGGGGGATGCCGCCGACGACGGCGCCGAGCCAGGTGTTTGCGGCGCTGAAGGCTTTCATGGGCGTGTACATGCCCGCGTAGATGACAATGTTGGCGCCGCCGAGGAAGGCGACGGTCGGGTTGACGCCAAAGTAGAGGGCGCCGACGCCAGTGATGGCGGTGGTGACGGCGAAGAGGACGGCGGCGCGCGTGGAGATGAGGTTCCTGACGAGGGGCCGGTTCCGCGTGCGCGACATCTTTGCGTCCGTCTTGGGCTCGTAGAGCATGTTGAGAGAGTTTGCCGAGGCGGAACAGAGGGCGGTGCCGGTGGTGAGGAAGAGGAGCGTCAGCGGGCTCAGGGAGGGCGACTCGGTGATGGCCGGGGAGAGGAAGTCGGTGACGGGGTATAGGGCGTAGGGCGCCATCGCGGTCAGGACGACGAGGGCGGAGAGCCGGGGCTTCGAGAGGGAGAGGAGCGTGGAGAAGATACGGCGGGCCGAGTGCGCGGGTTGTTGGGCGGCGACGCTGGTGAGGGCGGAGGAGGCATCCTGAGAAGGGAGAACATCGGGCGAGGAGGAGGCTGCTGCGGCAGCGGCTTCGGCGGCGGCTTTGCGTCTTGCAGCTTGGCGGCGACGATGCGGTAGGTCTTGGTTCACGTCGATTGGTGTCGTCGACTCGGAGCGCGCGGTGGAGGAGGAGGAAGACGAAGACGATGGCGCTACGGAAGCCGAGGAGCTCCGGCTGCCGAGGGGTCTGGGCCGGGCATTGGAGCGGTCGAGGACGCTGTTGGAGACGAAGTAGCTCGCGCTGAGACGCACTGCGGGTGCTGCCTTTGCGGCCGTCGTCGAGGCGGACCGGCTCGTGATCAATGGCAGAGAGCTGATGCTACTACTGTTGCCCCGCAGGACGGTAGCGCCAAAGGCTTTCCGAACGCATTGGCGACAGACATTATCGAGTCGGTGAGGGCGCAAGAGCGAAGTGGAAGCTGGCCGCATGGTTCTTGCTCTGCTCTGCGCTCATGTCGGCCTGGGCGAAGAAAAAGCCGGTCGGCGGCAGCGGGATGTTTCGCGGGACTGCTCTCTGTCAAACGCGGACCATTCGGAGGAGGGATGAGGCGTGGTCAAGGGGCGTGCGATTCGCAGACCAGAGGAGGAATTGCTCCGCTACACGTGGTTTGGCCAGGGATTGGTGCGGGCTCGTGGACCGAGATTGGAGCGTCGGTTTGCGCGGAGAGCCAAAGAGGGTGGTGGGCTGAGGATTGAGACAGAGGTTGAAAGACGTAAGAGATCGAGAATCAGCCGGACGACGGAGGCAGATGGGCTCTGGAAAACGTTTAGCCAATCAGGCGGCGGCTGTTGGTGGGAAGAAAAAGAGTGCCCCACCAGGGCACGGCCGGCCGCCTGTCGGGTCCGCGACTCCGCATCCCCGGTGGCCCGGTGCAATCCGTCTCGGCCACTGCCGCCGCTCTATTTTCCAACTTCGCGATGACTTTCTCTTCTTGGACTTTATCCTACTTCGGAATCTAGCCCGCCATTGCAACACCCCACAAACTCTCTCATCGAGGCGGGTAGCATCAATTTGAAAAGCTGGGCTCGTTCCGTTTGTGCTCGTACTATTCCTATTCAGCCGGTGCAGATCATTGCTTGGCCTAGTTCTCACTGGCCTCTTGTGGGTCGCACTGAACGAACTGGGCCAAAAGTATGCTCACATTCCGATCTGGGCCATCTCTTCGGCTGTCTTGGGCATATTAAACAGAGCTGCTAGAAAGTAGCCGGCGGGGGAGGTGACGGCAGTTAAGTAAGCTCAACGAAGCGCCGCATGGCTCGCTTGGGTTTGATTCCAGGAGTCCCGTGGGCTCGCATTGCCGGCTAATTTGAGGCTCTTTGGAAACACCCGTCATTATCCAAATGATGTACACTAAATGAAAGCCATATAGGGTCCTCATTATGTACTAACAGACATCCGTTGATCCGGATCATGATGAACATAAGAAGACATCATCTCAAGAAACAAGCCATATCATTCTCGTTGAAGCTCGTCTCATCCTCAGCACCACGAGCCTGCCCCTGAACCCAAGATCATCTCTTTCTCCATATTCCATCATGGCTCTGCGCGCCTCGCTTTTCCTCCTCGCCGGCACGGCCCTGGCCATGCCCGCCGACACACTCTCCGCCCGGCAGGCCGACTGCGGCAAAGCAAAGACAAACATCCCAGCCGTCAACGACGCAAAGCTCCCAGACCCTTTTACCTTTGCCGACGGCTCCAAAGTCACAACAAAAGCCGACTGGGCCTGCCGCGCCACCGAAATCCAAAACGCCTTTGAGCAGTACGAGCTCGGAGACTTCCCCCCGCCCCCGGACAAGGTCGAGGCCTCCCTCTCGGGCAACACCTTGACCGTCAAAGTCACCGTCGGCACAAAGAGCATCAGCATGACCGCCTCCGTCACGAAGCCCTCCGGCACGGGTCCCTTCCCCGCCATCATCGGCGTCGGCGGCGCAAGCATCCCCATCCCCGGCACCGTCGCGCAAATCACCTTTGGCAACGACGCCTTCGCCGCGCAAAACGGCCAAAGCAGCAGAGGCCAAGGCCTCTTCTACACCCTCTTCGGGCAGCAGCACAGCGCGGGCGCCTTAACGGCGTGGGCATGGGGCGTAGGCCGTCTCATCGACGGCCTCGAGCAGCTCGGTTCCTCCCAAACGGGCATCGACACAAAGAGGCTAGGCGTGACGGGCTGCTCGCGCAACGGCAAAGGCGCCTTCGTCGTCGGCGCGCTGGAGAAGCGCATCGCCCTCACGATCCCGCAGGAGTCGGGCTCGGGCGGCGCGGCGTGCTGGCGCATCTCGGACAGCGAAAAGTCCAAGGGGAAAAACATCCAGACGTCGAGCCAGATCGTCGGGGAGAACGTCTGGTTCTCGCCCCTCTTCAACACGTGGGCGACGAGGTCGTCGCAGGTGCCCGAGGACCATCACCTGCTGGCCGGACTCGTCGCGCCGCGCGGGCTGTACGTGGCGGAGAACGATATCGACTGGCTGGGCCCCGTTTCGACGACGGGCTGCATGAAGGCCGGGAGGCTCATTTACCAGGCCCTCGGGGTGCCGGAGAATATGGGGTTCTCTTTGGTCGGCGGGCATAACCACTGCTCGTTCCCGAGCGGGCAGAATGCCGAGTTGACGCAGTATATCAACTACTTCCTGCTCAACTCCGCGACCAAGCCGTCCATTCTCGAGCGCAGCACTGTGAATGTCAACGTGAAGGACTATGCTACATGGTCGGCGCCGACGCTGACTTGAAGAAGACCACCGGTATCAGGGCCAGTCGTGGAGTCCATTGGGGTGAAGCGCGCAAAGGGCATTCGGGGAGAAATTGTTGTTGAGGGCCGGAACATCGGACAGATTCTATTTTGACTAGGTAATGATTTTCATGGCCTGCATAGCAGAAACGAATAGTTTGCATGTGCGCAATAACACAACTTGCAAAAAGAAACGATTGGTATGACATTACCACACTACCTTGAAGCATGTGAAGATGAGGCTCTTTGCCATGCACGTCAATCAACGGTGGCGGATGGGCAGAAGAAACCTCGGCAAGGCGACTTGACGCGCGACAATCCGCGCAAGTCTTGTCTGTGCCTGTCAATTCTTATGAATGTCACAGTCACGTTGAGAAGATGGGTCGTTTCACCGGCATTGGAGCGTTCTTTGATTGAAGCTTGGTATCCAGTGGACCAATCAGCGCTATGATTTCCCCAGGGGTTACCATCAATTCCCCCAATCCAAAGTCCTGTCCGGTGTCTATGAGATACTTACACACAGTAGTAGGTAAGCTTATAGCACACGGATAATGGGGCGACTTTCAGATGTAAATGTTTCCTTAGCTACAGATAATTCGGATGAAAAAACACAAGCGTCTTGGAGGCAAACTTGGAGAAAAGAACAGGGGCACGACAGGTTTGCGATTCGTTTGTCATCCAATCCACCGCTGCTCCATCCCTCCATCCCCTGCCTTAGCTCGCCGGGTCGTCTACATTATCTTAGTACACCTTTTTTGTACCGCGTGATTCGGACGATCCCCAACGAAATCTGAACATCACGCGAAGAAGGGTTTCCAGTACTTGTAGTATTATTCGCTTCAAGCCCGGGGGACCGAGGAAGGACATGCTCTCTTCGCATCTATACATGGCCATCACTTTCTGATCCTCTATTCGTTTGTCTTTTGATAGATAAGAAAACGGTACGGCATCATCTTTACACTAACGGCGACGAGCAATCGCCAGCCTCTCATTCATGCCAATCATCACCATCATCACCAGCCGACAATAAACCTCACAACACCAACACCACTCCAGGATGCTCGGCCGCACGCTTCACGAGTTCATATTTATACGCGCCTGCATAGTACCGCTCCGCTACCCAATCCTCCCTTACGCAGCCCTCCTCCTCGCAAGCCTCCTCGGCGCAAACTACGCAGCCTCCTCCTCCTCCTCGTCGAAATGGCTCACAACCGCCGCCGTCACAACATGCATGGCAGCCACGGAACTCATCTACGCCCTCTTCATCTGGCTCCCCTACACGAAGCGCCTCAGGGAACCCGCCACGCACCCGAGCCCTTCCTCGCCCGCCGACCGCCTGGCCCTCTTTGAGCGGTGCATGGCCACCATCCCAGACTTTGAGCGCTACGTCCGCATGTGGTTTCTGGGTGCCGACATGGCCGACATCCATCGCGACAACGTCCGCGACTTTCTCCTCTGGGCCTTTTTTGACATGGGCGAAAAGGACGTCGGGCGGGCCAGCGCAAGGGACGGGGAGAACTACGACGTGGAGGTGGACCAGTATATAACCCGCAGTGAACGTCTGCTCGGCAGGCCCTTCAAGCCCGGTCGCGGGCCGGCCAAGTGTCTGCGCCTGACCATCGATTCCGTAGATACAAAGTACCGCACCGTCTGGTGGTACGCCATCATGGCCTTGTTGGACCACGTCACACACCTCTCCTTGTGGTTCTACGGGTTCCAGTACTACGCGCAGCCAAAGGACAAGGCCATTTTCCCACCTCGTCTCCAACAGGTCTTTGCCAGCAGGCGGTCCTCGGCCGGTAATTTGAGCTACTGGCACCGCCCCCATCGCGCAGAAGGTCTGCCGGTTGTCTTCCTCCACGGCATCGGCATCGGGTTGTGGCCCTACGTCCGCTTTCTCGCCGAGATCACCACCATGAGAATTAGGGGCCGCGGCCGGACAGGTGTCATCGCCATCGAAATCCTGCCCGTCTCCTTCCGACTTACTGACCCACCGCTGGGCAAGGAGGTCTTCCTTCGACAGTTCAAGCAGATAGTAAACCATCACGCCTGGGACAAGTTTGCCCTCGTCTCCCATTCGTACGGTTCCATCTTGTCAACCCATGCCATGCGATGCCCAGACCTGCAGGCTAGGATCCCGCGGGCCGTGCTCATTGACCCCGTGAGCATCCTCCTGCACCTGCCCGACGTCGCTTACAACTTCACACGACGTGCGCCGTCGACCGCAAACGAGTGGCAGCTGTGGTATTTTGCGAGCATGGACCCCGGAGTCGCCCACTGCCTCGGCAGATACTTCTTTTGGAGGGAGAACGCCATCTGGGCTGACGAACTGGTTGGTCGCACAGCAGGATCGGAATCGGTAGGCGTCGAGCGGCAGGAAGCGAGGCAGGTCACCGTATGCCTGTCCGGGCTGGACCTCATTGTCGACAGCCACGCCGTCGCCAGGTATTTGGCCGAGGGGGGTCAGGGCCAGCAGACGGAACACCCCGCATGGTTGCAAGGCGAGCATGGCCGGCGCGACGTTGCCGGACCAAAGGCTGCACCCATATCGGGCATGGGCTACGAGAGTCACCGTTCCGCTGGGTCAGGCATCGACATCCTTTGGTTTCCGGACAAGGACCACGCCCAGGTCTTTGATTCCCCCAGGGCTATAGCGCGAATCGTGGGTGCCATATGGGGCGATGACGAAGCAAGATAGAGATACTCAATAGATATCATGACATTGGCGGAATCCCACCGGGAAAGCCACACTTCACACGTGTCCTGCGAAGTTAGTCTTTTCGAGTAGTGCCCGATGTGATGCTTCTGCTGCTGCTGCTACTGCTGCTTCTGCTGCTGCTGCCACACATCGAGCATGCGGCCAGCCGCCTAGAGTTGGAGTCCGTCTCCACGACCGAGCGATGGCATATGGGTTACTTCGCCCGGTCACCTCCCCAATCCGTCAAGCCTACCGTGACCGGCTGGGAACCGCTGCGAGTAATGACCCACACGGTATCTTGATCTGACTCGTTGAGTAGTTGGTGCTCTGTCCAGGACGGAATGAATGCAAAATCACCCGAGGACAGCTCGTGCCGCTTTACATCTTGTCCTGCACCAGGACTAACTAGCAAGATGCCGATCCCGGAAGCCATGTAGAGAATGGTATCTTGGCAAGCATTAGAGATACACCGCCAAGAGAGTGACAATAAGTCGCAAACGCGTAAGAAAGAGATGGTGGGTTGGGAAGGGGGGAAAAGATTAATCCTAACCTTGCTCTCCGTGATGGCGGATAGCCGATGTCGCATGTGGGTTCAAAGTAATGACTACTCGAGTTAGTTGAAGAAGACGTGGCAGTGAACAAGACACAAGACCATGCGATGGGACAGGGTTAATGGAATCATGACAAGCACGACTTGAGCCTTGTTACTCTATGACCAGCAACACAGTTCTCGGCTGCGACGCTACCTTATGGCGGGTATGTTGGCGGTCCCAGGCAGGTCGCGGCAGCTAGGAAAAGCGGCGGGAAAGGCGCTGCGTGATGCCAGAGCAGATCCCATACGAATACAGAGAAAGAGAGAGGAATAGAGGTACTCGTAGTGGCAGGGGAGACGGCATCCTAGACCAAGTTGGACTTACCGGAGGCGCAGAGCTTATCGCTTTTGCTGACAACGGCATCGGCCTCGTTGGCAGAAGCGGGATTCAGAGTTGCATTGGGAGGGCGGAGGGTGGTCGCTTTGGTGACGGATACCGACGAGGGAACGATCATGGGTATCAGGTCGTTGATGAGTGGGATCAGGGACGCCATGGTGACTGTCGGCTGTCCTGCAAGGCAGCAAGCCTGAGCAAGGGGCGCGCGCGCGAGCGAGGGAGCGGGTTTCCAATATCCCGGCGGTTCCTTGGTCTGCTGGCGTGCTCCGTTATGATCTGGCCGGTCTCGGCTGGTCCGCCTGCGGAGAGGGGGGAATAAAGGTTGAATGGCCGTAGTTGGGTGTTCCGCTTGGTGAGCAGCGAGATCCGAGTCGAGTATCCGTAGAATTGTAGGATATTGGGTGAGGGTGAAGACAACCTTCCCACTGGCGGGCGGAAGCTATTACCAAGTAGGAAGGAGACGTCGAACGGATCACTAGGTGAGGTGGGAACTAGGGGAAGCTCCGGCAGTGGATTGAGCAAGTATGAACGGCGCAAGGTCTGGATATTTCCGTATAGCACGGTGAAAAGGTAGTGTCAACAACGTTCTGGGGATATGGTATAGACGTATAGGTTGTTGTGGATACCCACCTATTCTGCCGTCGTCGTATGTTGTGGTTCGTTGAAATTAAGTTGAATCTTGTTTTGCGAAAATTGTAACCTCCGTATTGGTTAAAAAGTGCGGTATGCCGAAGCGAGATCCAGCGATGGAACCGAAAGTCTGTCGAATTCGTGGTAACAGGCAGCTGTGGTTGTTGTTGGTGGTAAATCAAGGGTTAATGCCTCCCGAGTCCTCAGGTTGATGGAGTTTAGGTGGTCCCTGCAATGAGCGAGAAATGGAAGAAGAGGAAGGAGGGGACGAGGAACCACCTACCTACCTAATTGGGTAGGAGAACTAGTAGACCTGTTTTGGAGACTATGTCTTCTAATTACATATATCTATAAGATAGGCACCATCCTTAGGTAGAAACACAAAGAAAGAGGGAAAGAGATCATTTGGAAGACGTGCAATTGAATGAAGCCTGGAATGCTCCGTACCCGAGTTCTGTTCCCATAGACACTGCCTTCAACCAGAGTTACGACACAGCCAATGAAAGCGCATTGCTGGCTTGCCGCAAAGGTTCCTGTCCGACAAGCCTTGGCTGGGACTTTTTGAAGCCATGTGGATTCAATCGAGACCAGATAGGCCATTTGCTATAGGTCAGAATCCTCAGGCCCTTTTGCGGCGAGATGTATGGATAATGTGAGAGCAAGTTGGAGAGAGCATGGCACGTTCTTGGCTTGACCAATGTGATGCATTGGTCATTGAACAAGCGCAAAAGATACGCGCAAGAACTGGGGGGTTCTTTGCTCCATACCTAGTAATCATCTGGTGCAGTCTTTGGGCATATCAATTTCCCCTACCTTACCTAGGCAAAGGTGGGTTGAAGCCAATTTGAAGTCTAGGCTCGTGAATGGTCGGAACAAACAGCGACGATCTCCTGCAATGCGCCGGACAGCCGAAGGGATGAGTGTAGCCGTAAATAGTAGTTAGTTGGCGCAGGTATCAAGGTAAGGTGGTTGAGTGAGAGGAATCTGTTCACAGATACACCCAAGCACGACAGATACTCCTGACCAGCCTCGCTTCGGGCCCAAAGTCAAGGTGCTTATCTTGGCCCGACATCAAGGCGGGTGCTTTGCGATCGTAGGTAAGCTGGAATTGTCAGTCGGGTGGCTGGTTGGGTAGAAACCTAGGCGATGGCGTTATTGATCCGAGCTCTTACGGTACCTTGTGGATGGAAGCCTGAACTGGACGGGAGGTGACGGGAGGTCTGTTATCTTGTCTCTCTCGTCACCCGATAAGCGACAGACCCTAAGGTCACTGACCTCATCCCGAGTAGCTACGTATCTTGCCTTAGTCAGCAAACAGCTCCTTCGTCCCCGCAATCCGCTTCCATTCCGGTTCCGGTTCTCGGTACCTGAGGTGCCTGACCCTTGACGGTGCACCACAGCCCACAGCCCACTGCACTTCACCTTTCCAACGCACAAGGATCAAGACGCGACTCGATGGTCATGCCTGGGTCTTGGCTCCCCTTTGCGGCACAGCATGCTGGGCTACCTACAGCTGCACTGCTGCAGTAATCCTCACACGGTCATCGACATATCCCTACCTTACCTCACTCGAGCTGCGAGCACCTCATGAGACGAGATGCAAGAGCAGAGCAAGCTTGCCTGCGCTAGCTAGCTGGTCGAGATGCTGCAGCAACACGCATTGCTTCCACATGCACCACCGGCGTGGCAGGCACAGTAATATCCGCATCTATTCTTGGACTTCCACCTCCACGGTCGACCACAACGGCACTAATGGATAGGCATCCTACCTGGAGAATCACCTTACCAGCACCTTACACACATCAACGTCGTTGGCTACGGACGAACCCCCTTCCTCTTCCGGGCACAACATTCCACTCATCCCTCAAGTTTCCCCCCGTCCAGGTTCCAGTCACCGGTTGGCGCTGCATTAGTCCTGTGGCCCGGAGACGGCGATGGCGGCATACCTTGCTTGAACCAAGGCCCTTTTGTCTGTTTCGGTCCTATATCCGTCTGCACCACCGACCCTGACCTGGAACCTGAACCTGGTCCCGACCAACCTTACCGCAACGTCCTCTCGAGTCCTCGACATCCATCATCTGTCTCGGCACATCCAGCCGCATGTTGTCGCATACGCCTGCGGAATCTAGATCCATCTATCCATCCTCTCCGGCACGCGACTGCTCATGGTTGGCCGTTCCAAGCATCTAAACCGCTAGCAAGCTCTATTGGCACTACCAAGTAACCATCCCTACACCCACCACGCCAAACTCTCCGCCCCGCCTCGGCTGTCGTTGCCGCTGCTACATACTACCGCTACTGCTGTCGACCGTGCTGTCATCGCTGCTTTCCATCATCCCCTGGGGTGGATTAGCTATGCGCCGTAACCGGGGGTCGCAAAGAGGAACTTCTGGCCCGTCCGCGACCGCAACCAAAAAGTTCATGCTATTGTTGCATACACGCACGCACCCGACACACCCTCACCCCGGCTGGTCGGAGACGTGGAGACTAAACCTGGAGTCATGACCCCAACATTGCGAGCACTGACGACTCCTATATGCACCACCCTTGGGCAACCCGAACCTCCGTGATACCTTAGACTTACCGCTGGAGTCGTTGAGACATCGACACATTTTGACACATGCTGCAAGCAGCGCCAATATCACATCACCCCGAAGCGTTCTCGTCCGCAACATTGCTTTCTAGCCCGAACAATAACCCCCGCCGCTGCATACTCTCTTTGCAGCCACTCGCCAAACCTTCGTGACAGAGTATTGGATCGCCCAACAAGCCACAAGAATAGTTCGCCCCCCTTTTACACTCTGGAGCCCTCGAAACGCTGTTCAACGTTGCAATTCTTTTCTCTGAAGAGGCATGGATACGAATTGCGAAATGGCTACGAGTCCTCCCTCGCCCACAACCTCCGCCGCGGATTCGGATGCGCCAACTCACGACACCATGTCAACCGCTAGCGGTAGCAATTACGGTGGCATCGACCCCGAAGTTGAGGAAAACCTCTACATTTTACCCTACGTATCTGAAGAAGGACTTCGCAGCGATGCCACAGATCACCGGAAAACGATTGGAAGCTCAAGGGAAGACTACTATCCCCTTCCTTCTGACTTCAACATTGCGGCCTCAGGTAGTATGTCAACGATCCTTGTTTAATCTCAAATATATCCGACTGACCCGTCTTTGCTGTGCTAGCTTTGCCTTCCCTGCCTTCAGACAACAGTTGCCGCCTACTCGCGCTTCCTTCCGAACTCATCGATGCGATCCTCGCCTATTTGCCTCCCTGCGACCTGGCAATCGTAGCGGAGACCTGCCGAACCCTCCACGCCCACGCTGCGTCCGATATTCACTGGTATCAAAGGGTACAAGCCAATGTGCCTGGAGAGAAGGTCACAACTCCCTATCCATGCCGCACATACCGCGAACTTTACGCCGCACACGACCCAAGATGGTTTCTGCCAAAGTACAAGATCTGGTTCTGCGACCGTGATCTCATGGGCAAGATGATGATCATCAGATATGACCAGCGGAGGGGTTGCATTGAAGGATATCAGTTGTTGGCTGTCAGCAACCGTACTACATATCAGCACTGGCCCGCCGACCACAGTGTGATTATACACGCCTTCGAACCTCAGGTCAAACTTCATCTGGACAAGCCGGTACTCCAATTCCATGCTCGCCGCCCAGCCGAAGACGAGGGATTGTTGGGCAGTTTGGGTCAACGATTTCTGCCAGAGGTACCGATGTCAATTCACGACCCAATGGATGCTATGTTTTGCAACTTTATGATGGCTCGCCCTCTTGACGCTTCAATTGCTACGTCAAGAATGGATGGCGTGTTTCCTTATGGGAATGTCTGGCCTCCACCGGCCATTCCTGCCCGTCACAGGGTGTCGGGTGTGATTTCTGGTTTGGATGGTGATGACCTTGCCCCTGGCGACCAACCGACGAGAAGAGCTGAAGCCTCGGACCAGGCTTTCCGGATTCGGCAGTGGATGGAAATGGCCGGGTCTCCAACACCGGGTCTTTTCCTCGGGCCTGGGCCTGTGGGTATCATTCAAGCTATCCAAGCCAACATGGGTATGGGTACTCCTGGCGTTACCGGCGTACGCATTGGCGAAGAAGTGATTACATATTCAACCCTCGATCCTGTTGTCTACACACCAACGGAGCTCAAACCATGGCGAGGTATCTGGGTTGGAGATTACAGCGGGCATGGGTGCGAATTCTTGTTGATCAACCAGCCCGATGACGAAGAAGTGTCGGATGAGGAACTTGGTCTTGTCCGTGGCTCTGACGAATCAGAGTTAGAGTGGACGAAGCGTCGTACCGACGCGAGAGTATACCGGGGCCGTCTTGAAGCAATCAAACTCACTGGCGACCCGAATGTTCCGCGAGGGGAGTATACTTTCGTCGCGGACGATTTGGGCGAGGCTGGCTTCGTTGGAATTGCCCAAGAACCACCGTTTCAGGGCACACGAGTCGTCAGGAGTAAAGGACATGTCGCTGGAACGGGCTTTTTAGATGGTATTTTACCTTTTCCAAAGACGATTTTGGACGTATGCTAACCATTTTCCTCCAGACAAGTATATCGAGTCTCAGCTTATGCTCGTCTCCCACGACCGACTTGCTCAGTACTGGGTCGGATTTGGACATATCAGCTTCTTTGAGCGAGTTAACATTGACGAGTTTGTGAGTCCCTGATCTGGCAGGTTGAGATCATGCTAGGCGTCAATTGTTGGCAAGAGGACAGGCTTCCTCGGTGCCATTTAAGGTGGTTATCTGACCAGCTCGAATTCATCTTTTTGAGGACAAGGATTTTATCAAAGACATTGTAATGTGGATATGTACTTTCGATGAGTTTACGGCTGAGGATCGATTGGGTTACCCATGCAGCTAGCAATACCATTGTCATAGACAGAACTCCCTGAGAACTACATGTTGACGACGTTGATGAAACATGCTGTTATGTTCCCCTTCAGACCTAATAAAGTGAATGTGTACTAACTTACTTTCCTGTATCATGTAAAAGGCTGTCTGGTCTGACTCCATCGTTCTTTATCAAGCCATCAGCTACGCTACACACATGTCAACTTGTAACTTTGATGTCCTTCCTACGCTTTCTCGCTCGGTTTCTCGAAAGAAATAACAGAATATCGGAAGGTTCCATTAGCATACCCACGCCTCATGGCGCGGAAGGACTGCAAGAATGCAATGCCGTCCCGGCCCTGACTAAAGGCAAAGGCCCACAGAGAAGGGTTTTGGACCAGAGTCCATGTGATGTCCCTGAACAAGTGTTACTCGCGGTCACTCCTCATGGTTTGATATTGCATGACAACTTACCAAGTTCTGCTCACTTCCTTGCTGATATCCTTTGGGCCCGCGAGCAAGGAAAGCCCAGCGCCCTTTGCAAAATCGACGTAGCCCTGCTGGGTGCAAAGCGGCGGGAGAAGCATGCCGTCTGATGGCGAAGCCAGTCAACATTCAGTTCCTTGCCATGCGAGAGGCTAACATACCTTCAATCGGCTTGAGATCGTTCGCAAACTCCGTCTCAGTAACATTCTCCGCCTTGAACCAATCCGCCAGGGCCAGCTTCCCACCGGGCTTGAGAACCTTGAACGCATTCTCAAAGAAGAGCGCCTTGTTGGGGAAATGGCTCAGCGCCTCGCTGATCCACACGGCGTCGAATGAAGCGCTCTGCCCAGCGAAGAAGTCGCCCATCTTTTCGGCGTCGAGCTCGATGAAGCGGATCCTGCCGCGGCCGAGCGGAACGAAGCCATCGGCGTCGGCTTCGGTTTCTTTTGCCTTGTCAGATGTCTCTGACGCCTGCTTTTCCGCCTCGGCCTTTGTGAGCCTGTTGGCGATCTCGACCTGCTTGGTGGAGATGGTGATGCCCGTCACGGAACAGCCGAGTGTGGAGGCGAGGTAGCGAGAGGTGCCGCCGATGCCGCAGCCGACGTCGAGGACGTTGCTGTTCTCGCCGACGCCGGAGAGCTGGAGGAGGAGCTGGATGAGCTTTACCTGGGCCTGTTCCTTTGTTTCGGAGCCGTCTTCCCAGTAGCCGTGGTGGATGTGTTCACCCCTGAAGACAGTGCACGTCAGCTTAGACGAAGATGGCCACGCTGTATGGAACTTGATGGAGGGGGATGAGAGCACAGACTAGATGCAGTCTATCAAGAGTGTGAAAGGGCGCTGTGCCTCAATTGCACGTCACAGAGCGCGCGCACGGTGGATGAGAGAGAGGACCAGTGATAGCTTACCAGAGACTCAGATAGTAGTCACTCGCGAGGTCATAATGAAGCTTGATTCTGTCCTTGAGAGCCTGCATAGTCGAGTGAGCCAGACCCATGGGGGTGTCATATTGCTTGCTGAGCTCCGTGTTGGAGGTGTCCACTGTAGCGGCCATATTGTCGTCGATGCAGGACTAATAAGATGTAAAGCGAGCAAAGAAATGAAGTCAATCACGATATGATTGAGGACTGGTGTAACTTTGGCTGGTTCTCAAATGTCATGGATTGGCATTCAGAATTGACCAGAAATGGACAGCTGTGGTGGTGGTTTCGGGAGCTTGGTATCAGATGGGGAGAGCTTCTAAGCCAGTAGGAGCATTAAGGTATTGGGAACAGAGGAACAGGCCACACATTCTTCTCCGAGACAATATGGTTGGGAAACCCCGCGCGCGGCTACTAAGGTATGGGAAGTATTAAGGTAGGGTGCTCGTGTTCGGAGGCCGAGGCAGGAAACAGTAAGCACCTCTAACGACTTTAGTTACTTTGCGGCAGACACTGTTGAGCCGCCGGCGCAGGAGTTGCACCGCACCAGCACCGTTACTGTGACTCTGTGAGAGACGTCATGTTTTCGTTGGGTGAAACGTGAATGCCAAACCGTCCACCTGCATGAATATCGAACCTTGCGGTTCCTGTTGCCTTATGTAATGGTTGTTGGTTTGTTGGTTGAATTGACTCAAGCCATAGACATCAGCCACATATTGTTCTCGTCGAGTCACGTGACCTTGAGCCACACATTCCAAAAATAGAGAGACCGGCTCTTGCCCAGCCACCACGACCGCGACCACTGCCACGACAACAGCGACACATGTCGCAGTGTGGCAGTGCCAATGCTCAGCATCAGTGCCGGGTCCCGGGGTGGGGCCGTGTGGACCCCTTTTCATCTGCCAGCAGCAGTAGCAGCAGCAACAGCCAGGCACAGCAAGGCCTGTCAGAGTTGGTTCAGATCCCAGGCCGTCCAAGGCGCGTCCCCCAGCCAAGCCTGTCTGTCTGTGCTTGAGGAAATACTGGAGTTCAGACGAGAGGCCGACCACAAGAAAGACCACCCACCTGTGACCTGAAGAACCTGGCAAGCCTGGGAAAGAGACAAGAAAGAAAGGAGAAACAGGGGGAATGCGGCCCAGCCTCAGCCCAGCCCACCACCTCCACGTAAGCCCTGCAACTTACCAGCTTGTTTACGTATCTGTCGTAATACACAGGCATTTCCTATGATCGGATTGCCAAGTACCAATTCTCTGTGATTATTCATAAAGAAAACTCTCGCTTCTTACAGGATACACTTTTGGCCCTCTCTTTCTTGTGTTTACTCACTCGCTGTCACCAAAACCACCACACCCAGTCTGTCGCTATTGATACAAAACTCAAATAACCACAACTTCACCATGGCCCCCGTCCCTCCAACAACGGCCAGGCAGAGCCTCGCTCGCGCCGGTGCCATCGCAAACCAAGTCTGGAAGAGAGCCGCCGTCGTTGTCCTCCCCGAAGTCGCCCGCGCAACAACCAAGCACGCCCTCGCCCGCCGTGATCTCACCGTCAACCACACTCAGGCCGTCACCCTGGGCGTCATCGGCGCCTACGCCGTCATCATCGCCATCCTCTGGAACGTCCCCTTCTTGCGCCAGGTCCTCTGGCCCTTCAAGATGCTCGTCATCGCCTTTCATGAATTCGGTCACGCCATCACGGCTTGCTGTACCGGCGGCAAGGTCCTCTCCATCACCCTCGACCCCAACGAGGGCGGCGCCACGCTCATGAAGGGCGGCAAGCAGGCCATCACCCTCCCCGCGGGCTATCTCGGTTCATCGCTCATCGGCGGGCTGCTCATCTTTTGCGGCTTCAACATCAACGCGTCCAAAGTTGCCTCCATGGTTCTTGGCGTATGCTTCTTGTTGACTCTTTGGTGGGGAAAGCGGGACTGGCTTACGATTCTCACGGTTCTTCTCGCTGTCGGTCTGCTGGTCGCGGCTTGGTTCATCTCTCACGCTCAAGCTCTCAGATTCGTCGTTGTAAGTCAAAGCCTGCCATTCCATCTTTTCAATGCGTAATTAGAGATGAGTGAGATTCTAACACACCAACAGCTCTTCATTGGAGTCATGAGTTCACTCTACTCCGTTTGGGATATCTGCGACGATCTCATCATGCGCAAGGTCAACAGCTCCGATGCAAGCGTCTTTGCTCAACGCTACGGCGGATCTTCTCGCTGCTGGGGTCTCATCTGGTCATTCATTAGCGTCGCTTTCATGGCCGTCGCCATTGTCGCAGGTCTCGCCGCTTTCCCTCAATCATTTTCCGAGCAGGAGAGTGACTCCAAGAACTTCTTGCCCACGAGATGAGAAATCTCATTGGGGGTATGGCAATACTTTTTCGAGCTTTCTCATTTTTTGGAAGCCGGGATCGCATGGTTTCCGAAGGCTCATGCTGAGGCGTCTTTCTGCTACGAATTACGACTGTAACGAACGATATCCACTAGACGCGCGACGCGTTATACCGACGAAGCTGGTTGTTTTTTTCTTTCCTTCGACGATCTGTCGGCGACTCCGATTGCGCCCCGCGGGATGCGTCGTGGGCAGACGTAATGGCATTCGCCCACATCCCGGTTTTTAGGTGGATACGTGACGACGATTTCTATTGAGAACCGACCGTTCTTGGCGGCTTACATAGCATTGGCAACGACAACTCTTGGAAAAGGGCTATCAGTCATATGTGGTAATGCCTTTTCACGACGATGATTCAAGGCGTACTGGCGTTTCGACCGGTGGGAGATAGTGATGATACGGAACTTCACATTGTGCTGTTCCACGGCAGGTCGATTCTTAGGATGGCGTCAGCAGCGGCAGCACAGACTGGAAACATGTCTATAAATGCTGACGCACGTCTTCCATGTAGCAATGTAATGTGTTGTACAACAAGACCTTATTCGATAGTCGATGAAGCACATTGGTAATTAATGCGTGCCTTCCTGTCCCATGTAATATTGAACTTGCATTCAGTGCTAGCTTCATTGCAAGTGACGCCCACGGCAGTTTTCCGGCAACACCAACTCCCCAATCTCACCACCATTTGCCTCTTTGCCCTCTATACACAACCGTGTCTAGCAGCTCTGCCACTTGAGAGCCAGTGATTCCGTGACCGGAGAAGTCGCACCATCCTTGCGTTCTTTGCCAAAGATAACCAACCCCCCGCCTTGGGAGATGATGCGGAAAGTCACATTCAGTATCCCGACGTAACCATCGCCACCAGTACAAGGAGACACCGAGTTCACACGCTGAGCCACCTCCACGTTCCGGAAAACAGCCGTGGAGCCAGACGCCGTGCTCGTAGACTTGGTGACCTTTTCCCCACAAGTCAGCATCCTTTCCTCTGCCCAACACCCAATAAGCATGGACAATAAACTCACAGTATCGGAGGCCGTCTCAGACCAATACGCCGTCGTGTAGAAATCGACTTTGGTGTTGGAGCTCAGGTAAAGACCCCCGCTGAGCGTAACATCCTGTAGGAGCAGAGACTTGCCTGGCTCGCCTTCGTCGATGAGCAGGTGCACCTGACAGCTCGTCATCTGGCCGGCAGCTAGAGTCTCGCTGAAGTCGGGGAGGGTGATGGTCAGATCGTCCAGGCCGCCGGACCAAGTCAGTCTGTCGGTCTGGGGACAAGCTGGTCCGCTGTGGGTGACGCTTTTGATGCGTAGAGCGGCTGCGGAGCCGATCAAGGCTATCAGAAGCGCGGCGGATGGAAGCATGTTGGCTTTTATGAATTGCCAAGCTTACGGAATACGAGTTTATTAAGGAACACCCGTGAGGATACTTGTTTCGCTGCGACCAACTTCGTCAGATGGCATACATCCTGCGAAGGGCCCCTTTTATAGACTGTCCTAAAACCGTATCATGCATCGGTCATCCAGAAGAGACTTGCCAAATACAACATAGCTAGTTGATATCTCAATCAAGGTAGCGGTCAGAAGCCTAGAGAGATCCAAGGTCGCTTTATATTGTGGCGATGTGTCCGGCGGCGCCGGGTAATTAGGTACATACTTAGCAAACGAGCATATACGTGACACTTCAGGCTATTTGCAAAAGTCGGGGACCGTAGCCACTAAATGGAAGAGAACAGACTTGAGCAGCAGCCACAGTGTCGTATCAATATAGATGTTCGAACCGATTGAGGTCTAGAGCGCCAATCGCTGTCACCATTTATTACTATACCGTACATCTCTCGGAGGCAACTTCCAAGGCATTCCGTCGCCGGCACTACACTTATCAGCTTCGATGGAAGCAGCTTGCCATGGATTCAACCCACTCAGCTCCTTCCCCCTTTTCCTGACGGTGATAAGCGTACCTTCCACACATGACGCTGCATCTTTCATCCGACTACGCGAGAAGGGTATATACCCCTCTTCAACTCCATTCCCGTCACCAGCAAGCAGGCGCCCGTCTAGGACGGCGGGTCAGGTCAAACTTGGCTAGATGGTGGAATGGTTAAAAGGTCAACAATCAATTATCGCCATATAGCCTACCTCGACAAGCTCCGATCCCAACATGAGCACTATAACAATCGCCAGGAGAATAGCCACACCGGTGGTGAACTCTTTTTACTTGGAATTTTATCACATGCTATTGATACTGATCTGTTGAAGCCAACGCCAGGACGAAGTTTGGAATTGGCACAGGAATTATATCAGTCGTCGTCCGAGTCGTCTGTCGGATCAATGATACGTATAGAGGCCGAAAGACCGCTTCAGTGCCGTTCTTACCTCAGTTAAGTTAGGTAACTACTTGATCCTTGACCGCCGACGGTACCCCGTAGCCGTGAGACGCTCTAGTAAGGTACACAGGGCCGACCTCCGGCATATTCGTCCGTTGGCCGTTGCGGCCCCACCGACTGGCCCTGTCCTCCGACCTCTCCCCGTCCTAAACCAGTGCAACCTTTTGTGTTGCTGCTTTTCTAATTCGCTTACGTGATTTCAAAGGCATTGGTTAACGCTCCGTTCCTTAACCTACTTAATACTGACGCCGTGTTCGCCGAATTATGAAACCCCATACTTCAGCCATCCCGTGAAAGGTGGCACAAAGTCATCAGGTGTTGAGAAACTTCAAGTCCGCACACCCTGTCTATACTCAACAAAGCCTTTCGTACATTGGCAGCATTAAAGTCCTCATACTTCCTTGCCAACGGATTTGGCTGTAGTCCTTCCTGCTCTGCTGTTTAAGACCTAGGTAGCCCAGTAAAGTCAAAGATTGTCACAACATACTGAATTGCAGACATAACATATTCAAAGGCTACAACACTGATTGCCCAGATGTCAAAGAACACAAAATTTTCAGCATGTCAGCAAGTGGCTGAGAAGAAAGGGTTTCCACCGAAGTACCGAGATCCAGACCGAAGCCAGGTAGATATCGCTTTCGTCGGCGATATCAATACAACAAACCTGGTCTGCCATGGCCATATGAACAGGGTTCCAAGAAAACAATGGTTTGACTAATCCGTTGCCTGTTATGATGATGAGAACCCTACAAAGATAGTCTTACAACTTGGAATCAAACAATGTTTCTTCATCTGGCCCTATCACTGTATCCATCTATCATGTATCCATCTATCATGTATCCATCTATCATGTATCCATCTATCATTTATGAGCTCCATCACATATTTACTCTATCCTCCAGTTGAAGTACCCTTGTAACGTGCGTGAGTCCCGCCTTCCCCGCCCCTCCCCTGTCAAAAAGATCGTAAGAACGTGGTGGATAACCTATCAGTACACCAGGTCTAGCAGAACGCCCGTGCAGGGCTGCCTAGGAACCCGAGGAACCTGGGGAACCTGGGGAACCGTTGAGAGAATGGAACTAAGTATCTCGAGTGCCTCAATATCTTCGGTCTTAGAACGCCACGAGGACAGCTTTTGACTCTCAAGTAAGTTCATTTGAGACCTGGAGGCCTCGCCCCCTCCACGAGTCTCCAACCCCCCACGGTCGGAGAAACGGAAGGGCAGCGGTTCGTCCCACGATCCAGCTTGTCAAACTCACATTTGCATGACGTGCTTTAATCGGCAAGTTCCAAGTTCCTGTAGTATAGCACTAGCACCGGTATTAGTACTGTGTACCTTGGACCCATCACACGGGGCCAGACGAGCTGTCAAACATCAAGTTTGCCCGATCTCGCAGACAATCACAGATCCGGTGCCCCAAACGCAAACATACCCCTTGCTACCCTGTTCCCTTTTGACTAAATCTTGGCACCAATATCCCCTCATCCAGTCGTCCTCCTTACCCCAGGTTTTCCCCAAGTTTTCCCCCGACCTCCCCAAGTCTCGGGGCAAAGGATGTAAAGGCCAAGGGTATTGGCAGACTCCGCCCCCTTCTTGGGGACCAGAGCCAAGGCGGTAGCAGAAGCGGGAAGAGGGGAAATTGTCCTTCGGATAGAGGCAGATTTCAAAGCAATGTTGGGGTCTTGAGTATAATCCGGCTTTTTGAAGAGACAACTTGTAAGTGATTACTCATGAAGACGTAGGCTCATCAAATTCGTGACTAAACTCCCATTGAGCACTGATCATAGCACCATTATTCGGTCAGCTTCATGTTTCTGACAACTCAATCAAAACTGTATTCGCATGTCACATTTGCAAAGATATGGAATCACAGTGAATGATCTTGACGTAGATGTGCCTCTATTTTGTTACCCAGCTCTAAGGGGACCTCGAATAAGCCGTATCTATCCCCTTGAAAGCTCCCATTCTTTCTCTATAGCATATGCATCATCCGCGTATGTACTGCATTATACAGACAAGAACACCAATTTACTGTGCCAAAAACATTGCATTGAAATCAACAGACTCATGACCCCTCAAACCGTGTAGCGGAAGAAGGTGGCGTTGTCACCCTTGTGACGCTCGGCTGCCTTCTCCTCAGCAGTGTATTGGGAAGGATCCTTGTACTCGCGGTCTCGGCGGGCATTCTCGCGACGGAGGTAGATCGTCATGAAGGTGGAGAGAAGCATCGACATGGTCAACGTCGACAGGAGTGTGCCGTGGCCGGGGTAGTAGTGAGGCTTGTCCTTGGCCTGGTACAGGAAGCCAGCAATAGCACCACCAAGGTTACCGAAGCCTATGTCCTGTTAGTAATCTTTACTTTATTGACAAAGGTGAGTAGCAACTGAGACTGACCGACGTGCATGGCAATTCCAACACCTCTCTTCACAGAGCCTCCGATGTTGTTGCCGTTCCAAGCGACACCCTGGGGAACGTTGGGGTAGATACCGGAGGCAGCGAAGAAGCAGCCAGCATACTTCACTCCGTTGCTCTGGGAGGAAAGCAGCATAATGAAGCCGGTCATTCTGTGACAACAGTGTTAGTTTGCAGTCTTTGGTCGGGACGTGAGACGATACACATACGCGATGAGGCAGAAGAAGATCATGTAAATGCCACGCTGCTTGTGGCGATCGGCCAACCAACCACCACTGATACAGCACACACAGGCCACGATATACGGGGGAACGGTCATCAGCTGGGCCGTCTCGTTGGTGTAGCCGAGGCCACTGACGATGGTGGGGAGGAAGAGAGAATAGGAGTAGAGGGGGGTGTAAATTCCGATGGTGATGAGCTAGAGATATTGGTCAATACGTCTGCGCGTGTGAAGCAGAATTGTCCGGGTACTGCAACTAACCATGTGAACCCAGATCTTCCAGTCCTTCATGGCATCCTTGAAGTAAACCATGCTGAACTCATCAGCAAGAGCGGAGCGGTCCTGCTCAAGACGGCGAGTAACCTCCTCCTTCTCGGCGACAGTGAGGAACTTGGCAGTGGCAGGATAGTCGTTCATGACGAAGAAGGCGGCGATGGCTGTTCAGACAGGAATTCATTAGTATCGAGCTACTGATTTTACATGAAACCATGGGAATCGCAACTTACCAACAGCGAGAGTGAGGATGCCCTCAAGGATGAAAATCCAGGCCCAGCCGGGTCTGCCTCCAATGCCCCTCATCTCAACAATGCCTCTGGCGAGAAGACCGCCGAAGGCACCAGCCGCTGTAGCGGCAGAGAAAAAGATGGCCATGCGAAGACCGCACTCGTGACGTCGGTACCACATGGTAATGCTGGAAATAGAGAGGTTAGATGCCTGGGCAAACCAGTTCGCCTGAGAAGGGTGATACTCACTAGTAGGTAATACCGGGGAAAAGACCACCTTCAGCAAGACCAAGAGCCATGCGAGCAGCCAAGAGCCCGGCATAGTTGTGGACGAGACCCATGAGGGTACAGCAAATACCCCAGGCGATCATAATGCAGGGAATCCAGATAGAAGGGCGGAAGCGCTTCATAGCCAAGTTGGAGGGAATCTCGGCAGCGACATACCAAGGGAAGAAGACTGAGAGAGCGACGTTGTAGTCGAGGCCCTGCATTCCCAGGTCCTTCTCGAGGCCAGCGAGACGAGCATTGCCAATGTTGGTGCGGTCCAGGAAGGACAGCAGGTACAGTAGGGCAAGGAAAGGAATCAATGTCCAGTCGATCTTGCGCAGCAGTCTCTTGGTAGCAGCCTGGTCAAAGCCAGCCCTATCGGGGTCGCTGGCGTACTCAACCTCGATTGAGGGGTCGACAGCGGCACCGTTCTTGATATCCTTCTCGGAGGTCGACATGTTGGCGGTTGGCGTTCAAGTCGGAGAAGGGGGAGCAGTCGGAAGAGCGAAAGTCAATGGGACGGATGAGACTCCGGTCGAAGAGTGACTTATAAAGTCAATTCCCTGGAAACTACC